TGTGTGCACGCCAGCCTCCAGGTGGCAGCAGTAACCTGTGGGACCTGGTGTCAGTGATTAACGGCCAGGACGACTCGCTGCTCCCAGCCAGCTACAGCAAAGGAGTGATGCACATGAAGCACCTGCTCAAGTTTAAAACCGTGAGTCCTGATTGGTCCTTTCACCGTCACAGCTGACGGTTACCGTAGCGTGCACAGTCAGCGCCACACCTGTTGCCTCATGCTCCTGCAGCTGCAGGCGTGCAGCACGTCTCTATTGCTGCTGCTGATCTGTGGAACGATCTGCCCCAGCACATCAGGGAGGCCCCTTCACTGTCCACGTTTAAAACACGTCTAAAACCCATGTTTACTCCTCGGTGTATGAAACAGTATGAGCCTGATCTTATTGTTCTACATCTAATTCTAATGATCATTTTCTAGCCTCAGCTTTTGTTTTCTTGTCTTCCAGTCTGAAGCTCAGGAGCTGACCATCGTGAAGATGTCCAAATTCGGAGGAGGAATCGGAGCGCCGAGCAAAGAGGAGCGGCTGAAGGAAGCCGCAGATATCCATCTGAGGCTGGGACAGACCCAACGATACTGTGAGCTGATGGTGGAGCTGGGACAGGTGTGTGTGTGAACTCGCTGTTCAAATGAAACTTTGACTAAAACAAAAAGCAGGAGAGTTTGAGTGACGCTGCACCGAGGGCTCTGTGATGTGAGCGTTTTGTGTGTTTCAGTGGGAGAAAGCGTTGTCTGTGGCACCGGGAGTCTCCATGAAGTACTGGAAGAAGCTCATGCAGAGGTAACACCGAGCACCAACCCAGAGAACCACCGAGCGTCGCGCCCGTTTCTGACACGAAAGGCTGCACTTAATGTTTTCTGACTCAACATGAGTGCGCTGAGGTCGGGCCCATCGGCAGCACAGATGACTGTTTGTAAGGTTTAAGGCGATCGTGCGTCCATGACGTGTTTAAGTGTTAGGCTGCAAACGCAGAGCAGCGAGTCCACAAAGCTCACGATAAAGAAACGGTTTATAAGGTTTATCGTCATCATCACCTGAGTCTCACATTCCTGCTGCTCCACACGCTTCATATCAGCCTGTGCTTGTGGCAGGAGAGCGGACCAGCTGATGGCCGAGGATAATGACGACGCCATCCCGTACTGCGTCGCCACGGGAGACATCAAAAAACTGGTGACGTTCTTCAGTGGGAGAGGACAGCTGCTGGAGGCCTTACTGATAGCACAGGTACAAAGATCGCACCAACACGGACGCATCACCTGTGACGAGGGACGCACAGGTGACAACATCCTAACCATGAATGTCTTTAGGGAGCGTGTGAGGGGAACATACGTGCACCTCAAAGCTCTGCAGCCAACCACACGACTAATGACGTGGACAACAGGCAGCAGTACCAGAGGTAGCACGCACACACACACACAC